GTGACCACGTACAACAACCAGCAGGCTTCAAGCATCATGGCACCTTCCAACCATTCATTCAGTTATTCATATCATTATTTAGATGATCACCCTTCAACTTGGTATTTACATTTATTTTTATTTTTTTTTTTAAAAGACACGAAAGTAGGGCTGTAACCAACAATTATTTTCATCAAGATGATATCAAACTGCTTGTTGCTGTCCAATCCACACCTCTAAACCCAATGATATGTAATATCCATTTATATAGGACAGAGAAAAGCAGCAGATCCCCATATCTGAGCAAATGGAGCCAGAAAATGTTTTGTGTTTCTTATCAAAAATTATTCAGTGAATTGATTGATGGACTTGAATAGCTGAAGTTGTAACTGGAGTGCCACCATAGACACTGTAGCTACAGGGCAGGTTTTGATTTCTAGTTCAGAGTCGGATTTCACCCTTTGATCGCACCACCGCAGCACAAGACGGATGTACTGTACATCACGCTCTGATTATATTCTCCACTCTGTGTTTACAGTCTTTCATTTACATTGTGACACAAATGATGGTGGGAAGGTCACCACTGCTTGAATATGAGACTAAACCGTGCAGTTGCCATATTTCTGTTGTTTTATCCACTGTGATGGGAAGCGGGAGACAAGGCTTTGTTAGATGTGTGTTACTAAAAAGATAAATGAGCTTTGTTTCAGTATGCTTCACGTTTTATTCACTCACAACAATCTTTACCATCATCGGAAACCTTTTAGAAGAAACATAAACTGGCCCATGCTGACCACTCCAAGTGAAGTTCTGTACATGTACAGGGGAACAGAGTCCCTGGCAACTGGAGGTACTTTAGCTGTACTCGTTTCTCTATGAAAGCTAAATGCCAAATCACAGTGTGTGTGTTTATCACATCTACTAGTATGTGCACCTTTTGCTTTTAGAAAGTCCCCTGCAATAATATCTGTGGTCTCAATACAAAGTGAGTGCACGTTCTGAGGAGTTAACACCAGAACTGTGCACAACATCTCCGTATCTACGCTGTATAATTAAGTGCAGACTGAAGTATGCTGGAAACAAAATAAGTCGTACAACGTGGGCAAAGAGCCTACTGCCATAACCTCCGCCTGGCTGCGTCCCACTGCCTCCGCGATTGCTCGCCAAGAATTATGTGCTTTTTAAATCACACAAATGATAAATAGTGACACTCACTTTCAGACAGCCTCTCCTCTCATGCATTCATGGTGTATACACAATAAGTGATGGAAGCAAGAGATTAAGAAACGAGGGGGTTAAGAGTTCAAACCGTGCGTCGTCTCTCACCTTGACACACCTGGCTACAGCTACATGATGCTGGCATGATCCCAGTGTCTGTTTCAGAATTTCCATAAGTGGTGTAGGCTCCAGGAAGGATGTGCAATGAGTCCAGAACAAACGTCTGACGGTTGTTGTAACCACATTTCTTTCAGTGCTCCCTGTTTGGCGAGGATACAGTGATTTGGATAATTGCATCATTACAAAGCCACATGGGGAACAACAGTTGTTTTAGTCGCTGGGCCAAATCATTATTTATTTCATCACAGCACAATTACCTTTTCCCTCAGTTGTGTGCTTGGCTGGTGAAACCATTCGTTATTGATAAAGTAAATTGAAGAAGTTTGATTCTGACGGAAATGGAACCGAGTCATAAAGTGTGATAAATTTATCATCAACGTTTAAGAAAAAAATCCGCTGCAGTGCAGTTCATTGCTTTCTCATGAAAGCTATATATCTTGCAAGATAATTGCAACTCACGCCCTCACTTCCATGGTGCTTATATAAAACCTTCCACACAGACAAAGAGCAAATACAAGTTAATGTGGGGAAACTGTGAGGACAGAGCTGATAAAAGTGATGTGAACATCAAATTATTTTCCGCAAAGCTGTTGTTTTCTTTGCAGCTTAGAAGAGAAACTTCAGGTTGCTGAAATTAGATTTTATTTACTGAGTTTCCGTTTTTAGGCATTTCCATTAAATAGGTAAAAAAGATGAAAGATGTACTTCTAAACTTCTCTTTCTTTATTTAATTACCCGGTGTAATGTATGCATTGTTTACATTCTGCAAACATACAGACTCTAATTTTATGCCAAGCCGAGAATGACTTATCCTCCGTCACTCTGTGTGGCAGATATCCACCCTTACAGTGAGACGATGGGTGAGCTTGCTGTGTCTTTGTCAGATAATATTCCTCCTGGCATGTGAGAAAATGAGGAAAGAACAGAGAGAAGATGGAAGCAGAGAGATGAAATGATGCTTTTATCTTAAATCCCTAATCTATTACCCCAAACATGATTTACACTACAAGCTTTAAATAAAAGTGTTAGGAAAGCTTTACTCTCACAGTGCAGCATCACAAGAAGCAGAGCAACAATGGAGATTGTTGTTTTTATTGTTTCTACACCTCTTCTATATTATCAACTCCTGATATCTCATCTAGTCCGTCTGTCTGTCTGTCTGTCTGTCTGTCTGTCTGTCTCCACTATCTGCTGTGTTTGTTTTACTTTAGTTAGCTGAGATAGTCTACAAAATCAATATGAGGCACTTGGAAATAATGGAAATGTTAATGGTTTTGTAAAGGACACTGACTGAGAGACATGAATAGTAACCCAGAAAAAGATTAAAATTACCTCCTAAATAACTCGCATTCGGCAAAAAAACGCCACTGCACACAGGCACACCAACACATGTTACAGCACACCGGGGTCTGAAAGCTGAAGCAATATTAAGAAGAGCGGCATGACTACTCTCTCCCCTTACTTCTACCAGGGAAGAAAAATCATCAGAAATGTTTGTAGCCCAGCAGAGCGATAATGGATTCTTGCTTCTTGATGTATTTCAAACCTGCGTGGTTCTGTAAGATTTCAGTGCAAGAACAAAAATGGAACAGCCTAAATCACAAAGTAGGGCTGCTGCATAGAAAACCCTCCACCTCCCTGTAACTGTGACAGTAAATATGCACAATGTATCCAAACTATGATTGTTGTGTTGTGATCATAAGCGGAAACGCTCTAAAGATGCAACTGCAGGACTCAGCCGACATATCAATATCCACCAATGATTGCTTATTAATAAGTTACTGTATCGGTTGCGATATCACATTTAAGTTACATCGATGGACAAGAGGACAAGTTGCACTAAAATGTGTGTGCAGACTTCACTTGTTTTAAGTGTATATTTTGTATATTTTTGATGCAACAGTGTGACACTAAGCATTTTATAAGAAAGATTTGAGGATTTACTCGTAACTGCAAAAGCCAAATACATGAAACACTTGTGAAGGCAATGCAGAGTTTAACAATAGATCTAGTAAAGTTCTTTGCTTTCATTTTGAAAGTTTTTCACCTAATGTTTTAGTTTCAACCTAACTTTATTGCATATACAGTAAACACAATCTCCAGTCAAGCCTGGGCTCACTCTGCTGCACATTCCCCTGCTTTCCCCCTCTATCATCATCAAGCAACCGTCATGGTTTACTTCTTACTTTGCATTTTTTTCCCCTGTCATACTCTTCCCCTTTCCTTTCTGAATGTTGCTGAGGGCCTGACAGGGGGCATGATGTAAGGAAGATAAAACATTTTCATCAGGTCACTGAGCAGCAGCAGCTTAAAGCTAGCAGATAAGTATGCTCTGTGAATTTTTACATTATTCAAAAAACTGATAACTGTGTCCCTGGTGCCAAAGGGTACACCATGGGCATGTTTGAAAAAATATATATTTGCAAGGTGTTGGGTTGCAAAGTGATATGCAGTTTTAAAAAACAGCCCTAATGCACTCTTCCCGCCTCAAGTGGGGACAGGCAGCTAGGTTGTTATTTGTAGCCTTATATCATAAGTCCATCTCCACAAGTGTGATGACTAATCTCACCATAATGACAGCACCACCCCTAGACCTCGAGCTCTTCACCCAGACACATCTGTGCTCAATTACCGCAAATAATTCAACCAGTAACAGTGTGGTAATAGGTGGGTGGTGGACGGATGGCAGAAAGAATGGGAGGAGGAGGAGGAGGAGGAGGAGGAGGAGGAGGCCAGAGAGGAGCCGAGGTTGAACATTGAAGAGATGTGGTCTGCTGGAATATGAATTTTACTTCGTGTGAGCAAAGCAGAATTATAAATACTTTAAAAAATTTTTTAGTTTCTCACTCATAACACCTGGAATAAAACTCTTCATGCATCTGTGGGCAGCTCTGGGAGAACCACAGAGGTGGACTGCACATGTTAAAGCGACAAAGCCATTTTAGCAAACACTTTTATGTGAGCTGACTGGGAGCAATGCATTCAATATGCATTCACTACATGCCACTGGTGGGAACCAAAAACTATATTAGAAATCACTGAACCTCACCAGAAATCAAATCAGACTTTAGTCATAAAAATGCTAATATTTGTATGCAGCAGTCTTTCAAAGCAGGGACTGTGTTTGTGTGCCTGCATGTGTTTAAGCTTGTATGCTTTTGCAACGGCTGTGCATCCGTGCTCTCCCCAGAGACAGTAGCTGTGTTGATGAATGGTAAGCTCCTGTGGAGTTAGTGCAGTGAAGGAGTGAGGAGTAAAAGTTCATTATGTGTATGCTAAGGGGGATGGTGTGGAGTTGATTGGTGTGATGAGCTGCATTAATCATTTTGTTTCCCAAATGTCCTCATGCAGTCTGTGTCCTGCACATTTATTCTGTGATCTGCGGTATATTTTTGTTTTTTAATGATTGTTGGAGCTCCAGATGCATATCTACCTCTTCTGCATGCCTCACAAACATAATCCACAAGCAGAAGTCAAGGTAACAGTAATCAATGAGTGATACTGTATATTTAACAGTCAGAGAGGTAAATTCCTTTCTTTGCATCTCACATGATCTTGCTACACGTGTGTGAGCTCAAATCTCATTTCCAAGAACGCTGATGAATTCCAGTATCTTTTTGTTATGTATATAAATCCCTTCTATTTTAACTGTGAACACTGTTTGTTATTTGTTCTCTCGCTAGATCCCTCTCCCCATCCGAGGCAGAAGCCTCCAGCCACTGACCTCAGCTACAAGACTGAAATCAGCAGCCTCATGGACTTCAACTCTCCAGATGCCTCCCTGGACAAAGGTAAGAACCAGAGCTGGTTGACTTAAAAGTAGGTTTTCTGCTTCACTACCACCACGGCAGACGTTCTGCTGGATGTTGTGGTGAGGGAAGTTATTACATATACATACACATTCAGGCCTGAGTAAATCCGTGAGACCTTGAGCTTCAGATAAAGTGCTTACCAAGGGTACACCAGCATTTCATTATGGGATGAGAGCAAGAGTAGAGTAGTACATGTGCGTCCTTCGGTTCGTCTTCCATTTCAGGATCTGCTGCTTGCACCTGTCGTTGGAACAATGAGCATCCATTACACGTTATCCTGGTTGCTCCTGGCTGCTAATGAACTCAGTGAGTCCAGCTTCTCAGTTAATCAAACTGTAACAAAGGCTGCATCCTAATGTGGTCTGTGTGCACATCAGTACTGAACCAGGAATACAGCAATAATTGACCACCTCTTGTTTATGCGCAGTTTGTATTCCGGGAGTTTAGCCTTGTGTTGGATACCTGCGCAGCAGGACAGAGACTTTATATGACTGCAGCACATTCAGCAGTAATACAGTGAGTCAACAATAGTCCTGGCTGAAAATGTACTAAATATACATTTATATAAATGAATTCTCTCAGTAAGAGAAATTTAACTATCAATATGGTAAGTAAATGTAAGTTTTAATTAAACATATAAATGGTAAAAAAAAAAAACAAAGCCACATTATAATCTTACATAATAAACCTTTGAGCCTGCACACTTTGTAAATTATAAATAGGTGAAACTATCCGAAAAAAAATGTCAGTTTGCTAAGTCAGTCGTTACCTACACTGTTGCTAGTGGAGACATTCTCACGGTTCTTTTGAGGACGGTTTGGATTGTTATTGGTTTTAAATTTATTGGATTCATGCCTTCCAATCCTCTGGCAAAATTATGCTACAATCTGGCTTTGTCAACAGTTAATACTGTCATGCTCCATAGTCAGTCCTGTTTATAGTTGTGCTGTAAATGTTCAGTCACTTGCATCAGCATGACCCATCCCAAAGAGCAGCCAATAAACTTTCCAGTATTCCCAGACTCTTCTCCAACTGGGTGGTCCGCTGGGTCCCACGTTAACGTCATCAGCTCTCCAGACAAACACACTTATAGAAGTTTTATCTGTAGTCCGTGCCCATGTTCCAACTCTTTCATGACAAAAGCTTCTTTCAAGGGCTTGGAGTCTTGTAGAGAGGATCAAAGTAGCTACCGATGGCACCAGTAGAGAAGCATCTCTCGGACTGTGGTTCCTGTAAGGCTGCCAGCTTCAGTATGGATCTCTAGTGTCACCCAGATAGCCCCCAGGGGCCCTTTTCTCATTAGAGTGTCTGCTTAAGGGTCTGTTTGGCTGCCAGGTCTCTCCTCTCTCCTATTTGTGTATGTCAATGTCTTGATGGTACTGAGAGCGCTCACATGTAGGCACTGTTACTAGGGTCTGTTAGTACAAACCTGTTACTATACTATGTGTGGTACTGATGTACTGATGTACTGATGTGTAGTGGTGGAACATAACTAAGAACTTTCCCAAAGACCTGTACTTAAATAGAGTTTAAGATACTTGTACTTCACTGTATCATTTAAACACACATTTCAGAAGAAAAATATTTACTTACTACTTTTCAATATAAGATTTTATATTTTGTCATGTTGTCATATTAAACTACCCAACAGTAAATACAATTTGACAATGAATCAATAGTATTTGAATAATAAATGTAGGACAAATGGAGCCATCCAGCATAATGATTGTGTTGTAAATACTAAGGTTTTGAATTTCAAATAATTTTGTTAGTTTTGAAGTTTTATTGTTTTGTTTTTGTCTTTCTGACATTTTCACTTTTACTTAAGTAACGAGACCGTCGTGGCGTCCTGGGAGCTCACCCAGTAGTAAGCGTCTACCACATATCAAGGCTGAGTCCTTACGTCAGCAGCCCCAGCCTTTTGCTTCATGTCACCCCCCCCCCACCCCCCCACCCTCACCCCCACTCCACCCCCACCCCCGCCTTCCCTGTCTCTCTCTGTTGTCACTGTCAATAAACACAGGACTTTGACATGGACAGACTGTTGTTCATTTCCCGTTTGAAACGGATAGTCATTGTTGTTTCTTCTATCTATGACTGTTCCAAAACACTGTGTTTATTGTTGTAACCATGACAACGAAGATCATCTAAACTTAATGACATATTCATTTTAACCCAAACCATGATCCTTCCCTAAACCTAACCAAATTGTTTTTGTGCCTAAACCAAACCAAACTGTGACTGTTCCATAAACTTAACCGCATGTTTATTATTGTAACAATGGCCACAAAGGTCCAGTACGCCTGTCGCCGTACAAGCTCTGTTACAGGAGGGGCTCCTGTGGGTCAAATCAGGGGGTAGGGGCAAATGATCTTTATGGTCTTTTAGGTAAGACGACTTGTACGTACAAGATTACAGCACCTCTTCCACCACTGCTGATCTGTGGTTAGCTTTTTTCCACATCCAGCTCATGAATTCACAGAACATGCCGAAGATTTAATTATAGTTTGTACATTTGGGAGTCATTTGGAAATCAAGAGAGCAGACACTGTACTTGATCAGGTTAGTTATATGGACAGGCTCGTGCACATTATTAAATTAACGCTTATGTATGAGGACATGTACACACTCTCCCTCAGAATGTTGGTGCATTCGGTTTGTAGTCGTTTCCTGGGTGTTGTAAATGTGCAGACTCAGGAAAAAAAAACACACACACACACAAACACACACCAACAACCCCTGCAGTGGCCAAGGCCACGTATATCACCACAAGTTTCATCAGAGTGAGAACAGGGGACTGAGGGACTGTGTTATCAGCAAATTCGTCTCAGTAGGAGAGAGACAGAGAACCAAGGAAGGGGAGGGGAAAATGGCGTAAGCAGTGAGCACTGTATCATTAAGGTGCTGCTCCTGCACATTAACTGGCAATGATGTCACGAGCTGGGTGAAGCTTGGTATGTGGGCTGGTTTAAATAGGAAGGTCAGTGCAAAGTGGTCGAACAGGGCGTCGAGACTAAATAGGCTTAGGACGGGAGGAGAAACAGAAAAGGAAAGAGAGAAACAGGGATAAAAAATGAGTTGAAATGCACCATGAGGCGGAGGACAAGGTGAGGCGTAAGGACGCAGTGTTGCCTGTGTATTTATTCTGATTAATGAGAGAAACTCATACAGACACAGTGGAGGAAAGAGAGAGAGAGAGAGAGAGAGAGAGAGAGAGACAGAAATGAACATAAAAACAATGAAGATTGGGGAAGTGTATGCGTGGGTGTGGATGCATGTGTGAAGTGCTCTCTGCTGAGCACTTCCATTTTTTCTCATGCGCTGACACTTTCCAAAACACCTGCCCCCACCGAATCCTCTTATAGCCAGTGGGTAAGTGGCACTTAAATTGCCTCCAGCAACAATATCCAGACCTCTCCACTGTAATTTACACATATCAGAAACTGCTATTCAGAAATGCTCAGACATAGTGGTTACAGTTGGCCTTTTTTTTTTTTTCTTTAAACGTGACTCTAAATGGTCACGGTCATTTGGTAAACAAGTTCATATGCCGTGTGTTAGTGTGTGTGTGTGTGTGTGTGTTGCACTACAACATCTGAAAAATTCCCAAAGACGCAAACTTCTCTTGACCTCTGTTCCCTTAATGAGCCCTTTCCAAATGCTGTTGTTGTTGTCTTCTTCTCTTTTCTTCCCTTGGAATCCATTCAGTGGCAGGTTACCTTGGTTTATAGAAATAAATTAACCTTCCAAAGTGTTGCATTTAACTTTGCCACATTTAACCTTGGAGCTATGCCTTTCAATTATGAAAAATCAAGGCTTTTTCACACACACACAATTCTCTGTCACCTGTCATACTACAAGTGCTGGTCTAAAAATAATGTCGTAGCACGTCAATCAAGCACTGACTTTGTGTTTTCATTCATTTCATTGCAGTGATGGTTGCCAGTGTGCTTGCTGCAAGGGTGACTGTGCGTAATGTGTACTATCAGTGCACCCAAAAGTGGCAGGTCTCAGACTGTCAGAAAGTCTTGCCGTTGGCTTTTTTTGCTTTAGCAAATGGGCCAGAAACAGCAAATGTGCTCTTCTATCTGATAGCTCAGCAGGTCTTCAGTCCTTCAATCTGCTGGTAATAGTATCAGCAAGTCACACCAAATATATTTTGAAGCAATGGGTAATCTCATATACCCAAAGCAACTCATAAATATTTACATGTATTTTCTTAAAAACAAGTTCTCTGAATGTATATTTCATGTACATGTTTAGTTACAAGAAATCTTAAATGTAAACATTTCCCTTCAAAACCAGAAATTTAAACCTGCTCTCACTGATCTGCATCCATCCCCAGGAACTTACTGATGGACACTGCCACCTCCACAGTGGTGAATGAAGCTGCTAGTGAGAGGTCTTTCGGGGCTGTGTTCCATGCCAGTTCAATCCTGGTTATAAAGTGTGGACCAGCTGTCAGTCTTCCCAGAGACAGTGAAGGGAGTTTGCTCATTCAGTCCACATGTTTTTTAGACTTGCAGAAGGCTTATGAAGTATTGATCATTGATATGACAGATCCTATCCTTGTATACCTGCAGTGAGAATCTGTGGGTGTTGCGCTCCGCCAGTGTTCTCATGACTGCTTATTGCCAATAAAGTTGTTGTGTTGGCTTCATCGGACCCCTGACCTCTAATGATTCTTGCTTTTTTGTTGCTGAGTGCGGAGCAGCGTGGATGGGAATTAGCGCCTTCAATTCTAATCACATCGAGTAAAACACTGTGTATTCTGTCATGTGATATGTTGTGTTTGGCTCTGCCTGAGAGTTTTGTGTGTGTTTGTTTTGCTGTCTTAAAAACCCTTCCAACATTTTCACTTAACACCTACACCTCATTAAGTTTTGGATTTACACCTTGGTGCAGCACTGTGCCAAGGTGCTAGTAGAGGTGCATTTGCTATTTCTGTGTTCCACCTTGGACTGAGGCTTGACACGAGG